AGAGAGAGAGAGAGAGAGAGAGAGAGAGAGAGAAAGAAAATGGGTCATTTCAAATGTTACTGACCTGTGAAAAATAAAATTTGTGGAGTGACATGCCAATTCCTTTCTCACGGCTCTTCATGGTGGCAGAACCTTTTGGTGCATTCAGTGTCACCGTCTGGCTGTTTTCAATCACAACACAAGCCTGAGAGACGGGAAAACAAAGTGTTTAACAGTCTTTGTAAATCAAACTATCTCATAACAGGTGAAAGTCAGAACTGGCATGGGCACTATGTTGGTGCAAAAGTGGCAACTGTGTCTTAAATCAGGTGCTCTTTCCATTAGTTTTATTTTGAATGCAAGACAACTGCTCTTAAATCGTATTAGGCTACAAGATCATCTAATCCAAGGGGAGGGGGGGGGGGACCTCTTGTGTTTTAATACAAAATGTTCCAGTCCCTTATATTCATGGAAATGTGCAGATGAGCTACAACACTTGCAGAAGAAAGCAGAGACGATACACAGTTTTTTCCTTATTGGTCATCCCAGTATGTTCGAGTGTACCTGATCCTCATTGTTAGAGAGCTCCTCTTTAGAGAAAGGCCTCACTCTGAGATAAACGCTCATTGTCTGCTGTTCAGCTGCACTGGGTGCATCAGTCTAACAACAGAAAAAGACAAATCAAAGCAGAGGAGCTGAGTTTAAACTGTTTCTTCCAGTCCCTCCATTCAGTTACTGGGACAGACACCCCAAATAAGCGAAGAATTGGCAGTAATGGTTATGCATTAAAAACACAAACAAACACAAATAAACATTACCTGTTGCAGGGACGTGTTGCCGGGAGGAAGACAAGTCAAGTCCATGTCAACAGACTGCATACAAACACTGTTTTCCTGAATCATTTCACTAACTTTACTCATCTTCAAGTAAATTAGCTCAAACAACAACTACAAAAAGAAGTAATAGTTATTTGTTAAATTCATACATGAGATTGAGTGTAAGATATCAGCACTAAAACTGATTTAACAGTCACTGACTGACTAACTTAACAAGAGCCAGTAGACCTGCTGGTTTTCCTCCACTGAGAATCAAGGGAAAGCTTCTAATCACTGTTAATTGGAAGCAGATGTGAGTTCAAGCAAGTCATCAATATGTCCAACCAGCTTGGAGTGCCCTGTGTGTCAGATTCTCATTTGATGAATGTGTCACTGTACAAAAAGGTGACATACTGAAAAAGTTAACAAGCAAGCAAGCAAGCAAGCAAACAAGCAAGTAAGACAAAATAGAACCATTTTAGTCTTTGAGGATTCTTCCAAACATAGATTTCCTTATTTGTTTGATTTGATTATGACGTTGGAGAGCGCAGTCTAACCCACCAGTGTTCACTGTGGTTTAGATCTGCAGCCGGTTTCACAAGCGCAGTCTGTAGGATTAAACCAATCTTATTTTTGCTCAGGTTTACGCAAAAATAAACTTAAAAATTAAGCCACCTTCACTTTGGAGTTTAGTTGTCTGGGACAAAACGAAATTACAAACAGAGATTAAGAATAACCCAAATACTGTAACATAATTAGGGTTTGATGGGAGATACGTAAGAGGTTGGATAGAGAAGACGGCACATTATTTTTAACCCCTTTATTGAGAAACTGCAGTCTGTTTGATATGTGGCGTAACAACAGGTTACAAATGATCAGCGACCTTGATCAAAACATCACATTGGTGAACTTTCAACAATTGAAGTCACATTTTAATTTTTCTTCAGAACATTTTTTTTTTAGCTTTCTCCAGGTTCATAACTGTGTTGTTACAATTTTTAGAAACAGCTATATATGATGACCTGGAGACATTTCTTATGAAGGAAACATACAGAACTAATTTTACTTCTGCTTTTTATTCATCACTCTATGCTCACAGTAGCAGTACATTGAGTGCTATTGAAAAATGGGAGGCAGATCTTAATAATCAATATACTGAGGAGGAATCGAAAGGAACTATTAGCATGGTTAGGTTTACTTTCACTTGCAACCGCCAGGGAGAAACCCAGTACAAAATTTTGCACTGCCTATATATAGGCCCTAATGCAGAGGTAGGGAACTCCAGGCCTTGAGAGCCGGTGTCCTGGAGGTTTTAGACCTCACCCTGGGTCAACACACCTGAATCAAATGATTAGTTTATTACCAGGTCTCTGGAGAACTTCAAGGGCTGTGTCCCAATTAAGAGACCGCATGCTTGAAGTACGCGCACTACGCGTACTACGTACGGTGCGTACTATAAGTACGAGAAGTGCGGAAGTGAGAGGCTTGTGAAATGGGACGGTATACGCTTCGTCGCGCTGTTCAGGTTGCCTAGCAACCATGATACTAACGCGAGACACGTTACATACAGCTTT